GAGTGATTGCAGCTTTCATACCAGCTCTCCCACTGCTACTCTTAGTAAAGTGTGATGGAGCTGAGTCAGCCTCAGTTTGTTGCCACAGCCTGCAGAGCTGCGTGTTGGGAACTGATCCATACAATTAATTGGGTCAAGTTGACATATTAAAAATTGATTCAATGTATAATTAAGACATTAGCACACTACAGCAATTCTAAAACATTCCCTGCTGAATAGAAAACTGTGAAGTGAGTGTGCTTGAATTGGCATTTAGGCACAAAAACAAACAGACGTTAAGGATCGCAAGAGAGAATGAACATGTAACATAAACCGTAACCTACTTAGCCCTCCTCAAAAAAAAGAGAGGTAACCTAGGTATGTTTTCAACTACACAGATAATGTGCAACCCCATGCCACACAAAAATGCTATTAAAAATGTTTATTTTTTTGCTTAGCCAGATGGACTGTTAAAACATGTAGAAATACATTAAGTGTTTTATTTCTACTGCTGTATATGACTCACTATGAGCACCTAAAAATAATTATAATAGCATCCCTAATTAGCTCAAGACGTTTTCCTGAGTGCAGGTTTAGCTACTGTATGAGATTCTGGGTTTCATCCTGGGTGATGACCCTAGCCAGTTGTGAAATGGATTCCCCAAGTGGCCACACACAGTTTGGGTAAACTGCCAAGAGCAGGATGGGTTGAAACAGCTGAACTGGAACAGGAACTTCTACAGTCTCCTGGGTGCTTGCAGGCATGTGATGCTTGTGAAGTACGGACCTCTCCTCCACTGAGGCTCTGGTATGGGGTGGCGTTGCCTATGACAGGTTGAATAGCAAACAGTTCAGAGGTAGGCAAAATGGAGTATTGCAATGTACAGAGGAAATGGCAAAACTGAGCCACGAAAAACACAAACTGGCTATTCCTGATTGGGTCAGGATAACAAAAAGAAAGTGGCACAGCGGTCAGCATTGGTGCCTGACCATGCTTGGGCCCTGGGTTCAATTCTCCCCATATTCATGTAGATTTCCTCTCGGTGCTCCGGATTCTTCCCACAGTGCATAAACATACTGGTGGGTCAACTAGGTTCTGGAAAAATTGACCATGTTGTGTGTGTGTGTGCGTGCGCGCCCTGTGATGGACTAGTGTCTTTTCTTCGTTTCTGTTACTTATATTAAAAAAGGTATTAGTTGTCAGTGTCCTAATATACATTAGGGAACTTATAACTTAATTTAAACTATAAACTATAAGTGACCTAAAAGGATAAAAAAATATTAAACCATAAAAAACTTAATTACATTCTCATAACCCTGTTATAAAATGTATTACACTTTTGCTACTTCATTACATTTTCATAACCCTGTGATTTGTCCCACGGTGTGTCTGGAATTTGTCTTTACATTGTATAAAACCCAAAGTGATATTACAGATACATATTATTTGTCTGGTGGTTATTTTGCAAATGTCAGCTAATATTCTAATCATATTAATATTCACTGGAAGGTGCTTTCTGAAATGAATTGCATTTACTGGAGAAATGCCAAACAGACGAGCTTCCAACAACATCAAGGTTAAGAAAACTGTTTTCTAGCTGTTACCAGCAGTCAGACAGCAGTGTTCAGGACACACCCTGGCTGCATTAAGTAACCTTGAAAGTGACTACAGTCGACTTACACAATAGTGCATAAGATTTCTCAGGAAGTAAACAATGAGAAGAATAAAATGCAGGCACATTACTTAAACAGTTAAAGTAAAGTAAAGTGTAAGACAGTTATTTTTATAGAACTCCACTCTCTCTTTAAGGGTACAGTACATGTAATTCTTCTTATTGGGAGAAGAGCTAAACCACACATTTACAGCATTTTAGAGTAGTTGATATACTAGTGTAGGGGACTCTTCTTACTTCTGTGTGTTGCTGCAGCAGGCGTGACTGGATTTGTGCTCATTTCAGATACAGCCAAGACCTTCAACGTGGTGGTGTTTCACTGCAGACACATGTTTCACAAGGAGTGCTTACCCTCCCCGGGAACTGTAAGAACGTCTTCCTCTTCTTCCTCCCTTTCCCCTTTTCCCTCCCTCTATCCACCTCTCCCCCTCTTTCTAAATCTACAAGTATTGTAGACATTCTTGTCACATTCACCCTTGCTTTGTGGATATTTAAGCCTGGATGCCACCACCCAAGTCTTCACATACTGTACAAAGAAAGATCACAAAATAATCATAAAAGGCAACTCGATCTCCTTATTGTCTCAAGTCACTTTTTAAAAATATTGTTTTGAGGCAAATGTTTAAATTATTTGTGAAAATGCAGAAATATTCTGTCTGAAAAACTACTGTGCATAAGAAGGAGCAGCACTACTGAGACAGGGTCACTTCACAAGCGCTCACTAATAGGTTATATTGAGCAGTCAGACATACTGTATGTGTGTATCTCCACAATATGCAGAACAATGCTTTGGAGCACATTATTTTGCAAAAGCAAGAAGTCGAATGTAAAAACATGTGTAGATGATAATGATGAACACTGTGGAGTTAAACTGGTGTCTGAGTAACTTGCTGAAAAATCTAAAAATCCTATTGTTCTGCATTAAGATCTGTAATTAAGTACACAGTAATCAACAAACTGATCTCATTGTACTATACAAGTGTTGTTTTATGGAGTGTGATAATATGGGATATTTATAGATGGAAGGCTAAGTATGTACCAGCAATGAAAGCATTTCTAGCATTCTAAATTTTATGGGTCAAAACAAAATAGTGTGACTGTTATAATTATGTTGATTTCTTAGAAGTGTTTACAAACTAAAATAAAAACATCTTTCTTTTATTATTCCAGATTCCCGCAGTTCAGTTTTGTAACATCTGCAGTGCAAAACGTAGAGGTCCTGGCAGTGGAATTATAGAGATGAAGAAATAGACTGTGTTCACGATGAAAAGAGACTTCACGTTGTGTCTTTTTTTCTTTCGTTAAAATGTGTTTGTGTCTTTCTGTCACTTAACTGTTTTCTTGGCATGTCCTCAGCTATGGCCCTCTCTGCTCACAATGGAAATAACGGCTTTGAAATAATAAATTGTATACTCATGCCCTTCCAACATTAAACTTAATTTATGTAACAGGTCTGCTATTCTGTGTACAGAAGTTCTGCAACACTGCTTTGAACTCCGTGTAAAGGTGTCTGAAATAAATCATGTAACAATAAGTTGAGCATATAATTCAACACATTTACCAACATATTTTTATTTACTAGAGAGTTAGGGAAATATTAGACAATTTTTAAATCTCTCTTTAAAGACAATGTAATTAGCTAACATGCTTATCAGTCACACAAAATGTGTGGTATTATTAATAATAAAAATAAATATACTGTATCTACATAAGAAAGGTGGCAAATAAGAGGAGGCCATCAAGACCTTTTGTTTAACTGCCAGTGACAAATTGATGTGAGAATCTCATCCAGGTCTTTTTTGAAAGATGCCAGGGAGTGCTTGGACAGCATGCCTGGGTATCTTGTTCCAGGCTACCACTGTAAAACTATCTTATATAGTCAAAATATAGTACTTCTGTAGTTCTAAAGAAAGTGCATCCACTGTTTCCACAGGAACAGTACAGTACTTTAAGGATATTTTAATATTTTGTCATATCTGAGATCACCTCCCTCCAGATGTTATCCTTTTGTAAATATTGTGTGAGCTTAACAATCAAATGATAACAATTTAAATCTTACAAGCAGAGAGTCCATATATAAAGTTGGATTTTAAGGTATCTAGGATCCCTCTTTTCCAGTCCCAGTTCTAATTTCAAAGAAAAACTAAAGGTTATTGTAATTGTTACTGGTTTTCTCTAAATGCAACACTTTTGATACATTCCTTGTTTGGTTGAAAATAAATTATGTGTTCGCACTAAGGATATGGTACAGTAAATGTCTTTGAAGGCTTTTAAAGGGGTATTGATTATTATACCCTGCATCCTAAAAACTGTGCAATTAATAAAATAACTATTGTATTTATGCAGCTTTTTGAAAGTGCTAATGAGTTTTGCTAGTCTGCTTTCAAAGCCTGTCTGAAATGTGAGATATTGTTACAGTGTGAGAGTTTTAACTGAAGATTAAGGTGAAGATTTTCATCACTCCATTCTAGATGAAAAATTAATCTGATTATAGCTCAGGCTCCTTAGTCATTATCACCTGCTTATGCATTTCCCATATGTCATTCTGCCTGTGCCAAAATAGTGTGCTGTCCCATTTTATAAAAATGGATGGCAAAGTTCTAGTATTTACTGTAGCTTTGGCTACATGAAAATGGACTTCTGTGCAATACCATTTATCAAAACTGTATGAGAAGGTTAAAGTTCTTACAATAAGGTTCTGCAGTGAGGCCTCAAGTAGAATATCGTGTGCAATTGTGGTCAGTATGTTACCACATGGAGACTGCATCTCTGGAAATAATTAAAATAGTTCTAAATCCACAAGGAATATCATACTCGGAAATCGAAAAGTTAGAGGAAAAGAATCACTTTAGTCCCTAGAAGGGAAGATTACAGAACTTGATACAAGTGCTGTAGTAAAAATCTGTCATACAAATCAAGAGATGTTCAATTGGAAAAGGGAATATGAGGCACTTTTTTACCCAGAACTGAAGATGAAGCTGATTCCCTAGAATTCCTTAGGGTAGGTCCTCATTACAATCATTAGGATGAATTATTAAGATAGAGCCACTGCTCTTTTACAGTATGTTGTTAAGCACAGTTAATGAAATCTTGGCTTTGAACACTGTGTAGTGATTCAAAAAATCCATCTATACATTTTCGAATCACTTCTTCTAATACAGAGTGGCAGGGGAAGCCTTTCTCAGCACGTAATGAGCACAAGGCACGGGTACCTTAAGATACACATCACAATGCACACAAAAACATAAGACACGCATGTACACACTACAGCGCCAGTTTACACAGAAGCCCATTAACCTACCAGTGTGTTTTTGGACTCTGGGCATAAGGTTCACAAAATCATTTAATTTATTATTGATTAATCACAATAAACTTGTCAATTGTAAACATTTTGAAGTGAAACACTAATTGCTTCTAGCAAATACTGTATCTTTAATGATTCTAAGTGAATAAAGTGAAGTCAGACAATGTCAGTGCAGTTGACATCTATACTTTCCAGCATCCCCTTCTTGGGACTGTTAACTCACTGATAGCAATACTTTCTGAGCTTTTTAGTTTTATGAGCTACAGCACAAAGGGCCTCAAAAATATGAGCTTCTACAAGTGAAATTACTAAAATTTGCCAGTTGAAAGATATCCTATTTGTCTTTTGTCAAGGAAAATTGTTTTATTGCTATGTATTGCACAGAGAGCGCCAGGCAACTGTGCATCCCAGCTTCTCTAAGTGGCAAGAGAATTAAACTGCGTGGACAGCATTGACAGGTAGTTATCCTGTCAGTGTTCCTGCATTCTGCTACTGTCTGTCTTCAGGAGGCAGATTAGAAAACAGTTGAGAAAAGAAAACTTGACCCCAGGTGTAGAGCAGCAGAAACAGCCTGACAAGAGCCACTGAATACAGAATGAAAGCAGACAGAAGGCTCAAAGTGAACACTGACATACAGGCCCTCCCTCTACCAAGTGAGCTCTTCTGGACCTGCTGCACACAATGTTTCCACAACTACAGTATAATTTTTATTTTATTTTTCTGGTTCACTGTTATCACACAAATGCCACTACTATCCACTAATTTCATTTTCACTCTTGAACACAATTCCTTTCCTACAAACACGCAGTCAGCTACTACTCAACCCCTGCCAAGACCCTCCTCTGTCCCTGCAGTGGGAACACACCAGGCCTCCATAGTGCACCAGCAGAGTCAGGAGCTGGTAAGTCAGCCACTCCTGCTCTTCTTCTTTCACAGCAGGGAGGCCTCTCTGGTTTCACAACTACACTAATTCTCCCATAATACCCAATAAGACCAACACCCACAATAACATATATAAACACGATACGATACGATACGCTGCCATCTAAATGACCATTTGAGAATGCACTACTCATTTTTTGCTCTACTGTGCATCATACACCAGACCCACTAAATATCCCTTTACAGTGGTCTATCAATTGAAGTCCTTTTCTATTGAACCCCCCCCCCCCCCTCCCAGGATTCTAGTTTGGCCCTCTCTGCTCACAGGTGCTCAATCCCACCATTCTCTCTTCACAAACACACATAGAATACCTATGGAGGCTGCAACCTACAGGGAGTCTGCTGCTCAGCCTCTGGATGCCCATACGTTTTCACCAAACCCTCTGTCCTTCCTTCCTGCACCTCCATGGGACTTCCAGCTGATCGCTCAGCCATGCCCCCTCCTGGGCAACCACAACATTCCCACTGCACAGTTACTAACCCCGTTAATAGGCCTCTGCTGCTCAATCAAGCTGTTTTCCAGAACCTCCACAGTGTCTGTGGCTGACAGCTCTTGTCTGCCTAGCCATGCCACCTCTCTGGTGATTGCAACCACACACTGCACGGGTTTAGGTGAGGTTTCTAACTATATGTTTTTGCTTCAAGAGTGGGATGTTAAAATAGGACAATTCACAGCTGTAGCCCATCAACACACCAACTCCCTGCAGCTGTAACCTTCCAGACAAACATCAGCTGATGACGTGTTACAGTTGTAAACATGGATTTTTACCCATTAATTTTCTATCAGTGTATAATGTTGCTGAAAAGTCAAGAGTTCATCATGAGAACAATAGTAAATGTTTGATTCACTACTGTCCAGTGAAAGACCTGTGCATTATGGTTTGGGATGAAAAAAATAAGCCTGGTCTGAAACATTCATGAAAAAGTTAATGGTATGAAATTTTATCTTAATTTACTGTTAGAAATATGTAAAAATATGTTCATAACTAAATATGCAGACAAACACGATGGACAAAAATAATTTTGTTCAGGATGTTTTGTACAAAAGTCTTTCTTTAACTGTAAAAAAAAGGCCGTAGGTACTGTAGATGTTTTCTAAGGAGTTTGAAGTGCTGTGGATAGCAATCAGTCACCTAGAAACTTACTGTAGTATAGCTTCTGAGTAGTCCCATGTATGGAAATCCATACTATTAATACTGTAATAATAATTCCTTACACTTACAGTATATAGCGCTTTTCTGGACACTCCACTCAAAGTGCTTCACAGGTAATGGGGGCTCCCCTCCACCACCACCAATGTGCAGCATCCACCTGGATGATGCAACAGCAGCCATAGTATGCCTGTACACTCACCACACATGAGCTATTGTATCAGTGGGGAGGGAACAGACTAATTAAGCCTATTGATAGTGGGAATTGTTAGCAGGCCAGGGGAAAAATGTGGTCAGGACACCTTTCGAGAAATACCCTGGGATTTTTAATGACCACAGAGAGTGATGAACTCAGATTTACATCTCATCTGAAGGATGGTGCCTTTTTTTGTAGTGTGGTGTCTCCATCACTATACTATGGCATTAGGACCCACACAGACTGCAGGTGAGTGCTACACGTTGTGAATTGCTGGGTGATGTACAGTACTGTAGCTGCTGGCTACTTTTTGTTTGGATCTTTGGCGGACCAATATTTATTGCCATGGATATTCAAAAGCTGGGAAACACATGGTGAAGAAACAGCATTTTCTTTATTTTTTTATTTCTGCCCAATTCAATAATAGGCAGAAAAAGCATTAGTTTCATAATTGACATAAATGAGCACCCTGGTGACTTTTGACCAGTTCTTGAAACGTCATTGTCTCACAAGTATTATTTTATTAACTTCTCTCCATACACAAAGGGTTTAAAATAATTAAAAGAAAGTCAAGGACATGCATGAAATGTATGTATCATTGAATAGAGTTTCTGAAAACAATTGAAACTCCATTAACTGCGGAGAGCTTGTCAACCTTAGCAGAAAATATTGACTGAATATATCAACTCATCATTCATTTGGCAAATTAATCTTTGCATCATTCTTTTTACTTTCAAAGGTTTTAACTTAAGCTTAGAATGAGCTGATAGACCCTGCAACACAGAAGGTCTGAGGCTACTGCTTCTTCTTAGGTTTCCTTTAAACGCTTGAAGTCTCTATGAAGCCTCTATGAAAAATGGATAAACTAGTCTATGAGTCATGCAGTCTTTTTCTCCTAATATACTGTCTGCCAGTATATTTTGACCATTGTAACAAAATAATGTTTTGTGCAAGGGTGTGTAACTAATTGGATGAAGGAGAATAAAAATTATGAAATAGTAAATCAATCCTGACATCAGCTTGCCTTCCAAGCAAGTTGTTATAAGTTAACAATTGCCGTACACCCCCCTAAATGTCAGGAAATGCTGAACAGAACATATACAGGAATATGCTTTCTTAAGTGCTCAGCAAGCATTGTAAAAAGACCATGTTTATTTTCAAGCCCTATCACAATATTATCCACTATTATGTACAGTACTTACTGTAGGTACAGATATTTACAAGGGATGGACAAAATAATGGAAACACCTGATGAAAAACAATTTGTATTCTGAAATTGTAAAGTTTTAAAATTACAATTTTATTATTTGATATTTTTTTTTATTTTACAGTCACAATTAAAAAGATTCTACACGTGTTTCATATTAATTTCAATGCTGATTGCTAATATGTTTCCACTATAAAAGATGTCTTAAAATCAACACTTCAATATGTAAGTTTCTAAAATAAAATGAGAGATCTAACAGATTTTGAAAGAGGTCAATTGGTTGGAGGCCAAATTGCAGGTGTATCTGTTACAGAAAAAGCATTATTTATTGAAATTACAGTTTCATTACACAAAGTGAGAGATTTCATTAGGCTGGTGGATACCACAAATAGGAAATATTTCCAGAAATTCTAAACCTACAGTATCTTATGTACGTTAAAACTCACAATATTTTTTTTTTCAGTTCTCAGATTAATTGGGCATGTTCTGTTAGTTTAGTGTGCATTAATGGAGCAGTCTCCTCTTCTCACTCATCTCGTCTTCCTCTTAGATTCTCTAGTTTCCTGTATTGTCTTTTATATTGCCTTGTGGCCAACTTTTCTTGTACCCCACCCTCAAGAAGGCTGACTAAATGATTTATCAACAACAGTTTAGTCTTAGTTCGAAATTCATACAATTGCCTGGCCATTTTGACTACCACAAGCACAGGACAGGACAAGGAGCAGCTGAACAAACACTAAAAAGAATATCCATTGTCCTACCTTAAAGAATACAGGAACAATGAAGTAAAATTAAATATTGAATAAAGTATGAAATACAGTATATACTGTAGTGCAAAAAAGATAATACCAAAGATAACTACTGTAGCTAGGTCTCATTGGCTATATATATGTACTGTATATTGTCCCTTTATCTACTCTCATCATTACCTTGTGCCCTGTGCTACCGGATTACAGTAGGGTCCAGGTTACGGTAACCCTCACCTAGAGTTGTTTTTAAACTGGATGGATGGGTGGGTGTGTGAGTGGTTGTCTGCTCTGAGATCCTTTCACTAAAACATCCATTTGGATCAGGTATGGGGAAAGAAATAGAAAGTGCTTGTAGAAAGAGGGTCCCCAGTCCTGCACCCAGAGGCCCAGAGACCTCCTGGTGTTAATCCTGATCGCTCAATTACAACTCTTAAATGACCTGATTTTGGAATGAATTGGAACTTTTTAATTGTATTTACAGATCTTGGAGGTTGTTTACATTTCACAACTCCTTTACAGAGGAGTAGAAGAAAAAAAACTTACTCGGCAAAGAAAATAAATAATCAAGCAAAGTACAGTATTAGCTCAGTGAAGGATTCGGATACAGTATGTACAGAGCTTGTCTGGAAGGAAAACCAGCAGGTATCTTGATTCCTTCGACCATGATCTGGGACCTGAACACAGCTGGGGAGCATAAGGAAGCACATTTAAAACCAACTACAAGAGAAATTATTTTTTTACACAGAAGCTGGAACAATTTACCCTGCCATGTTGTCAAAGATGAAAGCTGACTTCATTCAAGAAATGGCTGAAAGAAACGAGTTAAAAAATATCTAACCTTCTAAAGTAGAGTTCCCCCATTGAGTTGAATTCTTGAAAATCTCAATCAAAAGTTGCTACTTCCCAGTACTTTTAAAGTCAGTCAGTGAAACCTGACTGATATGATGTAGATCATGTTGATAGTCTAAACTATTCTCTAACAATACAGATGTCTCCAGCTGCTGTCCAGTATTTATGGAGAGTTTTTTTTTTATCCCCCTTGTTATGTAATGTTTAAGCATGCATTGTTTAAAGACAGAATTCCAGGTGCCAAAATATCCTGTTAGTACAGCAGCTGACTCACTGTGTGTCCTTGTCCTCGATTCACTTAGTCTGAATCAGCAATTTTAAGAAACTTCATAGATTCATGTAAACACAACCATGTCCATTCTTTACAGCACTGAGAGGAATCTGTTAGATTACACTTTACAGTTCTCCATCCCTATTCATTCAGATGAAGTTGAAGATAACTGGTAAAATGTAATTCTCACAGGCTGGACTTCTTCAATGAGGGTCAAATTTACAATTTGTAAAACCTTCCCTAGCTGAAGAAAACTGAAGCTGAAAAATGGATATAGTATAGTTAGTGCCAATTGTTCTAATGTACTGTACATTAGAACTATGAAACATTAGAAATACCTTATTTGCCAAGTTGACACAAAGAAACCAAGTAAACAAGATGATTAAATGAAGGATTGAATAAACAATGCTACCTTCCTTGCTGTAAAGAGTTGAAAGAGACATCTGAAAGTGCTTTACATATTGTAAAGGGTATTTTCATTAACTGTGTTTAACAACACTGGCACTTTCAGAAATTAGATTGTACCCCCAAAAGGTCTAATTGAACAGGACCGGACTGCAGAGCTGCAGTTAAAAAAGGACGCCGATAAACACAACTGTGGCTTTAAGGGCCCGCTCCTCCCCCTCCTGGCTGCTTTGTTCATCACAGCTTCTCCGAGTACTGGAGCTTCGCTCTCTTATCACTTCAGCACCAGCAGCCATGGCCGACATTAAAACAGGCATCTTCGCCAAAAATGTCCAGAAAAGGCTCAGCAGGGCGCAGGAAAAGGTAGGATAGAGCTCTTGGAGTTCAGCTTGATCTTTGAGAAAACAAAACAAATGAAAACAAAGCGTCCGTTTTTCGTTCGGGAAGTCTTGGACGGTACAATATGCCAGGCAGAGGATGCTTGGCCAGTGCACAGGGAGGAGCAGGTGTAATTTGACAGCGGGATAGGGCAGAAATTATTAAACACTGGTGATTTAAACGGTAGTGTTGTATATTACATTTTTACTTTTGGTAATTTTGGTATTTCTATTGTTGTTGTTTTTTTATTATCGGTAGCATTTTTATTTTAATGTTCAATGACAAAATGTAATCTTATCTGACACTGCCATTGGACTGTGGTCCTGGGAAAGGTACCCTGTGACATTACATTATTAAGTAGACTTGGGATATATACAACATGCTGTTTAAAAAGAAATATGTTCACGTCTATTACAAATGTAGTGAACTATTATTTGTATTTTTTAAAAATATTTTGCTCATGAATAAAACATGACCACCAGTATTGGTTAAAATTAAATGCTGCAATAACATACTTCGGACCGTATTATTCAAGCATGCAACGCATTTTACGTGATTAATACTGTAACACCAGTTTAATTATATCTCCATGTGATAAAACAAAGAAAAATTACGGCGTCGCGTTTTTTTTATTTTGCTGTTGTAAAAATTCTGATAAAGCAATTAACATTCGTTAAGGATTGTCTTTAAAGAAACGCTTTCTTCTCGTACAAGGTCAGTAGAAGGGGAGGTGGGGGATATCCTTGCTCCTATGCAGCATTAATGATTGTGAGAATGGTCTTGCACTCGAGCAATGCATTTTTTACTGTTTTAATAGTGTCCTGCTGTCAGAGGGATGGTGAGCACACATAAACTGGAGCGATAACGCGTTGAAAAACCAACTATAAAATGTTAGAAATAGGCTTGGGACTACCTGTGAATGGATAAAAGGATTTTGAAAACCATGAAATTAGTGCTGTGAATTATTACTGATCAGCTTCCCTCTGCATAAACCACACAAGTTCCCTTAGAGGGACCCATCTACCCATGTTGCTTTCATCTGGATTTTAAGTGAGGCGCAGTTTCACATTTGGCAGTCTTACTCGTTCAGTGTCTCGAGTACCGCTGCCGTACTCTCTTGAGGAGCAACGTAGCCTTACCAGAGCATCAGCCCTTTCTAAACGTGTAGCATGTATTGTGGTGAATCTGAAGGCCGTCTCTGACACTTCGGAGACGCATTTAGACCCATCTTTTCAACTCTTGCAAGATTTTTTGGATTGCTTAATAAAATAACATAATTACCAATAACAAACCTATTGCTGCCACTACAACGACAACAAATGCGTTGCATTGTAAAGCTTTCAAAATAGTATATTACAGAGAACAATAATGGTTTTAAAATATTATACCTCAAAGAACAGTAATAGTTTTTTTTTTATGTCGTACTGTAGATCCTTCTACTCTTGTGTTCTTAGCTATGGTGTACTGCCGTTTGCCATCACCGGTCAATATTACGCAACAAATACTTCATCATGTAGCAGAAGAGTGTAACAGTATAACGCTGGCAGGCGGATAACCAGAAGGATAGAGCGAGGTCCCGTCTTCCCGGCTCCGCCTCCTCTCACACAGTCCGCACACATGAACTGTTGTAAGAGGATTGCTTTTCTTTTAATATCCACCGTCCCAAGCTCATCTGGCCTAATGGAGAATCCATGAGGGAACAGTACACTTCATCTGAATGGCTCCTAAGCCCTGAGATTGGAGCTGTTGCAAATTTACGTTTTGTGCAACATGTCATATGTTATTAGGATACACATGTTTTGGGCAGAAATTAACTATATTTGGAGAAAATACACATTTCTCTCTTCTTATTTGCAAAAACAAAAATAATTACAGCTGTTTTGTCAACAGATGTGGCTTTAATAGTGAATGATGTAATTCACTAGCAGCAAAAATGTAGAAATTTGATATAAAACAAGTGAAAAACAACAGTGGGTCGCATAATAGTTATTATTAAGTGAACTCTGGTCGCACAGTTATGTCCTGCAGAAATTTTTTTTGTAGGTGAAAGTGAAAAAATGAGAAGGAATTAAAATCCGTTTAAAATTTAAACTGCTGCCGAATGCGTCTTAGTAGATTTGCTTGTTTTTTTTTGTATTGATTCAAGTACTGTAAGTCGATGACAGGGACATTCCGCTTCAAGGCAAAGGCGTTACATGATGCAATATTTTACTCTGATCCTGAACCTGTTCAAGAGCGACACCGCTGCACTAGGCAGAGGAACGGCCTTTTACATCCCAGTCTGAACCAAGGTTAGAAATAACTCGGCTTTTAACATTTAATCCCGTCTGCATGCCCAGCCGGGTGTATCAAGACCATCGCAGATAAGCATTCCTGGTGTAGTTATCCGTCTTGATCACGTCTGATATTCTGTCCTGAACACATTTCAAGCTTTAAATATTCGTAACAATAAAGCATCTGTGAAAAATGTTGATTATGTTTCTGTGATTGGGTGAAATGAAAATAAATAAAAGTTTGCTGCTCACAATGAATTCACTTCCTATTGGGAATGGAATCTAAATCCAGAATTAAAGGCAATTTAAGGGAAAAATTGGTTTCAGAGGGCACAAGTGGAAGTTTATTTAAAAACAGAGAATAGGAGGCCCTTCTTCATGGAAAGGGTGGAGTGAGTATGAAACAAACTACCCAGCTATGTTGTTGAAGATGGTATTCTGGTTTCTCTCAACAAACAGCTGGATGAGATCTTTGGATCGATTAACTACCAACTACCAGACAAGCTTGCTGAGCTGGTCTCCTCTCGTTTGTAACCTTTCCTATGTTCTTCTTAAAAAGTGGAGAAGTGTGTGGTTTTTTTTTAAATACAGTAATGGGCATAGTTTTTGAACATCTTGAAAATGTATGGAATTGTGAAAGTTCACACTAACTGTAATATCCACAAGGAAGTATTGCAATGATGATCAGACCTGTTTTCTTTTCCTTAGTCTTATACCCTTATGTTCTCTATCTTCTCCCCTAGCAATGTCTGTCTTTTATCCCTCTCCTCCTGGGTGGAATAGGTTTATTCCATGCTGAAATTCCATGCTGACAGGCTCCATGGTCGATACGTTGTGTTTTCTTTCTTCTCTTTAAGTCTGGCCTCCTTTTCCTCTTCCCCTTCTGTCAGCCTCTCCTTCTCTATTGTTCTTAACTCCACCACCCTCTCCCTCTACTCCTCTGCCTCAGTGTCGTACTTGACTCCCCTCTCTGCCGTTCATATCACATTTCCATTCTTGTCAACTCCTGCTGCATTATGCTGAGCGGTATCCACAGTATTTACCCCTTCCTAACTGTCTAGTCTGCAATGTCTAGATCAGGCCCTGGTTTTCCGCCTTCAGCCTGACCTCACAGTCAGGACTATTTTCACCGTCTTCAGCTCATTCACAGGTCTCTCTCTCACCAAGTCTTTTCTTTACCTTGTTTCTCTCCTGCCCCACTGTTACTCCAGTCTCTACATTGGCCCCCTTTAGAAGCTCACATCCTTTTTAAAACACTTGTACAGTACGTACCTACAGCTGTCTTAACCACCCTGTTCCCGATAGCCCATTTTTCCTCTCTGTTCCCCCACCTTCAGGCCTGTTCCTTCTCATCGCTGGTTCCACAGTGGCGGAATGTACTCCTCAATATCAGAGCTTCTCAGTGTCTGGCTACCATGTGGTGTCTCCTCAAGACTGACCTGTTGAGAGAACATATGCAACTCTGTTCAGTGACTTTTGTTCTTTACTGAAATCAGTAAAACCTTACTTACACATCATTCACTGCTTGATGGGCATTGTCAATGCTTTTCAGAGGCATTGCTTTTCTAACTTGCCTGCCTTACTGTATTATTTACCACCTGTCACTGAATATATAAAATGTTATAAAACATTTATGATACAATACCGTAACTGTAACCAAGTCACAGGGAAGTGTTGCGTTTCTATAAAGGCTTGAGACTTATAATTGATTTCAACTACATAAAGATTTCAAACATCATGCAACAGCAATAATACAGCACAGTAGTTACTGTTTTCTTCCGTATGAATAGATACTGCCATCAACCTAAATCGCCAACACACAGAAATTCATGTGAAAGTGGTGGAACAGCTGCTGTTTCCATTTGAACAGTAATTGTGCATTTAGTGAGGTACTGGATTTGAACTGTGCTAATTTTAGATGTTTTCTGGTACATTATTCCAAAAGGTGGTAGTGGTACATTTCTTTCTTTTTCTGAGTTGTTTTTATATTTGAGTTGGAATGTGACAAAGCAAATGCCGCTGATTGGAATTTGGTATTTGTCCAAGCCACAAGGAGAAGGGTAAAAATGAATTATCCATCCATCCTGTTCCTAACCACTTCATCCAATTCAGGGTCACAAGGGAGCCAGAGCCTATCCCAGCAAGATACAGGCACAAGGCAAGGTAGACCCTGGATGGGCTGCCAGTTCATCACAGGGCACACACAGACACAGATGCACACACTCACACCAGGGCCAATTTACCTACCAGTATGTCTTTGGACTGTGGGAGGAAACCCACATAAATACAGGGAGTACATACAAACTCCACACAGCATCCCAGGTCCAGAATTGAACCCAGGGCCCCAGTGCTGTATGGCACCAATGCTAGCCACTATGCCACCCTGCGCACACTCTTGTGCCATGAAAAATGACAACAGTCACTATCTTTCTTTTTCATTTGCAGTGTTTGACAGAGGAACCTACTGTATCTGAACAGCATTCATTTTCTCTCTCTGCAGCCCACGGTATTGACACTTGGTTTGACCAACCTGGAAACACATAAGTGTCAATTTAATTAATTTCAAAAGGAGTCTGTTGTTATTTTCACCAGAGATGGAACTCATTACCGCAGTACTATTTATTTTCCTTAGCTGTCAATAATTGAGTTTCTTTTAAACTGGCAAGTAAACAGGTCTAGTCAATTCTGGCATGAGTGTAGCATTTCCTGTTC